TCCTTACAGAGGAGATCGGTGAGAGGTTTGGTGATTTTGGAGAAATCCTTGATGAAACGACGATAGAAACCGGCATGACCAAGGAAACTGCGGATGCCTTTAACATTGTGCGGGGGCGGTAATTTCTCGATCACTTCGATTTTAGCCCTGTCAACCTCGATGCCTTTGTCGGAGATTTTGTGTCCGAGAACGATGCCTTCTTGTACCATGAAATGACACTTCTCCCAATTGAGCACTAGATTGGCCTGTAAACATCGATCCAAAACTTTACGAAGATTAGTCAAACAAACATCGAAGGAAGGTCCGTGGACAGAAAAATCGTCCATGAACACTTCCATCGAATCCTCAATAATGTCAGAGAAGATCGCCATCATGCATCGTTGAAAAGTAGCAGAGGCGTTGCAGAGCCCAAATGGCATGCGCCGATAGGCGAAGGTCCCGTAAGGACAGGTGAAAGTTGTCTTCTCCTGATCATTGGGGTGAATAGGGATTTGAAAGAATCCCGAGTATCCGTCAAGAAAACAAAAATAGGAATGAAGAGCAAGACGTTCAAGCATTTGATCAATGAAAGGTAAAGGGAAGTGATCTTTGCGAGTGTTCGCATTTAACTTCCTGTAATCGATGCACATACGCCAGCCCGTCACTGTTCTTGTCGGAATCAGCTCATTTTTGTCGTTTTTGATCAGCGTCATACCGCCTTTCTTTGGGACGACTTGAACAAGACTTACCCAAGGACTGTCAGATATAGGGTAAATGATACCTGCATCCAAAAGTTTTAGTACCTCTTTCTTGACGACTTCTTTCATCGATGGATAGAGTCGGCGTTGATGTTTGATGGATGATTTGGAATCGTCCTCCAGATGAATTCGATGCATGTACAGTGAAGGGTTGAGACCTTTGATATCATCCAGAGTATATCCGATAGCCTTCCGGTATTCTCGCAATATGGTGAGGAGTCGCTCGAGCTGTAGATCATCCAAAGCAGTATTGACAATAACAGGATAAGTGGAATCG